TTATCAGTTTTTCATTTTGTTTAGGTGATTGTTTTTTTTTTCTATTTTTAATTTTTTAAAATATTTTAACACAAAAACTATAAATTATAAACCAAAATATAAAATCTAAAACCCAAAAAATATAATCTAGAAACCACTAAAAAACTTGCAAACATTCATGGCCTTATTAGTTATAAAAGCACCTTATGTACAATTAGATCCAAATAATACAGTTTTTATTAAATTATTATTATTGCATGCAGTTGTTAATTAGTGAATATAAACTTTAGGCTATTACTGAAATTATGGTACAAACCAAATATATATACTTTAAACAATTTCTTGAAAACAACAAGTATAGGAGATAACAAGAACAGACATAAATTGATGCATTGTACAAACATAAAAATAAAGATTATTATTCATTTTTGCTCTTATTATTTGTAATAACGTAGTGTACATTTAGTGAATTAATTCTAATTTTTAAATTCAGGTTGCTGAAGGCAAAAAAATATTAACTTAAAATAAATATTTACAAACAGTTACGTTAATAACAAGGCCTAATAACAATCATCTTTTTTGGTTTTGTAACTTTTGTTCAAAACAATCAGCCATTAAAGCCGAAAAACAACAATAGTAAAGCTATAACACTGTTAAAGATGTTACAGCCCATTTATAAGCTCTCTGGTTAGAAGTATAGGCCCATATTGTATGGCCCAAATATGGCCCTTTAATGGGATTTCAGATATACGATTTGAGTCCCGAGATCTCCTGCCTCGCCGAGAGGATCTTCTTCATCACCGTCGCTCGGAAAAAAGTTTAGCGTTGTTTGACCGGAAATGAGTTTTACAAGTGATCGACTAGCTATGTAAATCAGGTACGATGCATAGCTGATTTGTTGTTTCTACGATATAAACTCGGATTTGCTTGTTTTCGTCCCTCTCCGTTGAAGTTGAACATAAGGTGTTCGACGAAATGTTTCGCCTAGTTTTCCCATGTTTATGATTCTGATTTATTAAAAAGTCAGCAAATTTGAGTCATATGACTCATCGAATCGATACTTGAGCATATATCCATAGTTCTACTATTGTTAGTCTCGACTCTCCAGGAATCGAATGCTGGCTGATAAAATTTTAGTTTGTTTGGGAAATGATAAGACTGAGTTACCATTTTTCATGTCTAATTCATTCTCATTACTGATTCATTTGATCTGTGTCTCTAGATTAATGTCGCTATGTCGAATTGGAGACATAAAGTGTGGAGAAATCTGAGCTCAATTCAAGGAGCTAGTTACTCAACCACGCCTTCAAGAACCAACAAATTAAAGCTTGATGACCTTAGAAAAATCCGGCCGATGATTCTACGGAGAATCGAAAACCGAGCAAAAGATTACCCGGTTAAAGAGATTGTTCCTGTGGCTGAAGATGTTCTTATAGCCAGAAAGTATCTGCTCA